CCGTGCCCGCCCCGCCCTCCGCGCCCCACCCCGCACCCCGTGCCCGCCCCGCCCTCCGCGCCCCGCCCCGCACCCCGTGCCCGCCCCGCACCCCGTGCCCGCCCCGCACACTCACGGGTGGAAGGGCCCGGTGCTGAGCACCTGCGGCGGCTGCCCCTCCTGCAGGCTCTGGAAGTGGACGCTAAACCAGGCGGTGAAGCCGTGCAGGGTCCCCGCCTTCCTGATGTCGAAGCGCAGCTCGCCCCTCAGGGTCTGGGTCAAGCAGACGACAAGGCACGCGTGGGCACCGCGTGGCACCGCAGGGCCGGGATGGGGCGGCCCCCTCCGCGCGCCCCGCGCAGACGCTGAACGCGTCAGGAACCGCAGAAAAGCCCCCGCCCTGGGAAACCACCCCCAAGACCCGCATCCTGAGTTCAGACGCTTCCGTCAGAAACGTGTCAAGCAATCTGAGCTTCCTGCGCCCAGTTTTCTGCCCCAGATTCCTGCGGAACCTTTTCGGCGCTCAGCTCTTCAGGCTAAGGCGTTGGAGAGCTCCAGGCTGGGCGTTTCCACGCAGAACGAACTAAAACCACAGCTGCGCCCGCGCCGCCCACCCCATCTCCAGACGCGGCGCCAACTGGGGCGCCAGGCAGGGCGGGGCGCCCGGAACCCGCCCAGAGCCCACGAGCGCCACCGCGCGGCCACAGACAGGGATTCGCGGAGGGAATTTTAACAGTTCTGTCATGAAGGGTGGCTAAAAACACGTGAAAAAAAACTGTAATGCAAATACCACAATGAAACGAAATATAATTTATTTGATTTTGAAGATGCTGAGAATATTAAACATAAATCTAAAATGAAGACGCTAGAGACATCTATAAAGAAAATGATGTACAATATGAAAGAATCAAAATAGAACGTAAAGAAGAAAAAAGACTGGAAAAAATCAGTAGCAAACGTTTTATAAATTCACTTATTTGTATAATAAAATAATTAGTTACTCACACCCCCAGCGCTCACTGAAGGTTTATGATAATCTGGGCTGAGTGTTTCATGGTCACTGATTATCTAATGTAAGGAGCAATTCATCTTTTTCTCACCTCTAGATCAGAAATTTGCACGGTTCTCATGTCCAACTGCAATATAGTGCACGGTTCAGAGAGACAGTCTTCTGGTTTCAAAATGTGGTTATACTTGGGCTTTGAAAAAAACTCCTTAATTGCTAAAGATCTAGGGGAAAAGGTCAAAGCAACTGTTGAGAGTCATTGCAAACATCTCAGGCTTCAAAACACACACGTGGGACCGCGGTGAGTGCTTTCTCTTCTGTGTCACCAGGATGCTAAGCCACTGTCTGGGGCCCTGGACCCCGAGAGTAGCCCTCAGGCCTCCAGAGGCCCTGGGTGCCTCCTCCTCTGAGAGGACCCAGACCCTACCCAGGCATCCAGAGCCTTCCCGAGCCTGACCTGGAGGCATTCAGGAGCCTGCGAGTCACTGGGCGCTTCCCTGTGATGTCTCATTCATGGGATCTGAGCACATGGAAACCAACGCTCACCCCTCATAACCTAGAGGACAAGGGGAGTTGCAGCTTGTCTTGCCTAGTTTTAGAATCTATCTGATTTCAAAGTATCTTTTGTGGATTTTCTTTTAACAGTAAATGAAAGTGGTATTCCTGCTGTAGGTTACTCTATAATAAACGTAAGGAACTAGAAGAGCTGAGGTGGCCTGAGTGAGTCTGAGTTTCAGGAGAAATACTTGCTCTGTTGTTACCCAAATTTGACACAGAAACAGACACTAGATGCCGCATGGCCCCCTGCGTGTCACCGTTTGCCAACCCCCATCACTGGTTGCACTGGGCTTGTCAGTAAGTCACCTATTATTTACCACAGGAATGTTTTAAAAAATAAGCAAAGCAGTAACTTCTGAAATAGCAAATAAAAGTGAATGTTTTAATAAAGATTCCACTATGTTTACATATTTCTGATTATTTTTCTGATAAAAAATTACGAATTTAAAAATTGGAAAAAACGGACAAGTACAAAGAAAAGTTTAAATTCCCCATATGCTTGTCTTAGCATTGTGATATTTATTTTTATCCCCCAAACATATTTATATAAATTTATTTATGCAAACTAATATCCATTCTGTATACATGGTTTATTCTGCCAAGCTTTACTGTCTTTTAAACCCTTTCTAAATATCATTACATATCCCTAAAAACCTATGGTTTCTTTTTTAACAGCTGTACCGCAGTGCTCCACCAGACGGATATACAGCAATTCAACCACGTTCCTCTGGATGGCCACTGGCTTCCAGTGCTGGGAGGAACACTCAGGTGGGAGGCTCTGGCAGTGACTGGGGTGGGCAGCCTGATGCCAACCTCTAAGGCCCCGGCAGCCACACCTCCCTGCCACTGCCAGGCAAGCCCGGGCTACTATTTTAATTTACTCTTTGCTTGTTGGGTAGGGAAAACAGCATGTATTTTAATTTGCATTTTAACTACTAACAACATTATAATTTTTCATATATTTATTGGTAATTTTATTTATTTTTTGTAGTTTGCCTGTTCACGTGATTGTGCTGTAATTCCATCTGGCTAGTCATCTCTTTCTAATTGATTCCAAGACCTGTCAGCACGCGATTTCTCTAATTACTTGTTTGCTTTCACAGTCGTGTTTTTGCTGATTTCTACCACGTAGACTGCCAGATTCTATCTAGCACAGGGTCCATTCCATCCACTGTTGCGGCTCATTTCTCCACCTAAGATGGTGCACACAGGCCCCCATGGATGTCTGTCGTTGACGTTGATTCCATGCAGAATTAAGTTTTCACGTATGGCGTGAGAGAACAAGAGCTAATCGACTGCTCCAGAATAATTTGCTGACTCGGCCCTCGCTCCCTCCTAATTGTAATGCAACCTTTTTCACACACGAAAAAAATGTTTGTTCCTTGCATTCTGCCCTGCTCTGCTCATCTGTCTTTTCTTGTTATAGCACCATAAACGCTACAACAGACTGTCCTATCTGGGTGCACAGGTGCCCTCATTTATCCGACCATGGTGTGTGATCTCCCAGGGCCTTGGCCCACCTACAGACTGTGGACCAGGAGGCCCCACAAGACAGTGCCAGTCCCAGCTGTGGACACTTACTTGAGAGCGCTGAGGTTGAACTCGTATGCGTTGTCCCAGAAGAGCACCTTGCTACGATAGTCCTTATCAGCACTGCAGGGCACAAGGTGCAACGCGGCCATGGTGGGCCAAATGACCCCGTCCTCCTTCAGCCAGGCATCCCGGGCATACAGGATGGACTCGATCATGAACTCAAACTGCATAGGAGTGAAAGACACACAGGAGACACATCACAGGCCCTGTGGCTGCACAGGCCTCTCACCACCACTTTCATAACACTAGTCCGAGAGTTCTACAGTTTTAGCCTCAAGAATATTCCTGCCTAGGCCAGTGTACCATGCGAGAGAACATCTCGAGGGTTTATTTTATGCCCACATGTAATGGTCACTGATGCATCTCACAGCCTGGGTTCAAGTCACATAATTTCCCATTAGAACTAAGAACTGGAGCGGAGCTAAAAGCAAGGACAAATCTTCACTCTTGTCCTGTCTCAGTCACTGAAGAGTTCGTAACCACCAGATTCTGAAAGAGCCCTGAAGTATTGCAGGATCCCAGCTGTTACATAAAATATATTTGGTCTGTAGTACTCTCCGAATTTCCACAACCCTTTAAGTAGACTGAAATCACTCTACGCAGGCATGCCCTGGCCATTCACATGGTCCTTTGGTCCACCTTGCATCCCTCAGAAGGTCCCAAGTCAAGGGAAGCACATCACATCTATGACTGAGGAATTGGGGACCCAGCACCCTCAAAGGCCAGGCCTTCTGTTGGAACCAGAACTGGCTTCTAACACAGAAAGGAGTAGAGGGAGCACCAGCGAGGTGGGGCCAAGGCCTGTAGCCCTTGCAAGCCACTTGGGAGCCTGCACTTCATCCTGTAGTTGACGAGAAACAACAGAAGTGTTTTGCTTCCCTTAAATAATCTCAAGCCGGTTTTATTATAGAAGTAGTACATGTTTTGTATGGAAAATGGAGAAAAATTATGAAGGCTCAAACAAAAATAAAAATCACGTGTTAACCCAGTACCCAGAAGGAACCACTGTTATCACTCTGCAGCTTACCTTCAAGTATTTTCTACACATGCACACGAAAAATACATACATCTAATTTTTTAATCTCATTTTTTCAGTTATAAAGTGAAACTGAGCTTTTTTGGTGTACAGTCTACGAACTCTAGCACTTGTGTGGATTTTGTCCTCACCACCACAGCCAGCATACACACAGCTCTGCCACCCCAAAACACTCTTCACACTTTTCTCTGGTGGTCATGCCCTCCCCCGCCCCTGCCTCTCAAGCCACCAATCTGGTCTCCATCCCCATGGTCTTGTGTCTTTTTGAGAATATCGTATAAACGGAACCAGACAAGTATATAACCTTTCAAGGCAAGCTTCTTTCACTCACTGTACTGTTTCTGGGGTTCCTCCAAATTACCTGTTTCAATAACTGGCTCCTCTTCACTGCTCAGTGGTATTCCGCTGTGTGGATGCACCAGTTTATCCTTAAGGATTATCCTGATGAAGGACACTGGGGTTGTTTCCAGTTTTTTTTGCAATTATAAAGAGAGCTAGTATAATCATTCACATACAGGTTTTTGTGTGAACACAGCTTGCATTTCTCTGGGTTGAATACACAGGAGGGGGACTCCTGGGCGTAAGGTGAGTGCACATACAACTGTATAAGAAAGCACTCACCTGTTTCCACAGTGGCATGAGCCCTCCAGCAATGCACGACTTTCAGCTGTTCCTCATCCTCAATGGCACTTGGTATTACCATCAGATTTTTTTTTTTTTAGTCATTTTTCAGTAGGTGTGATATCTCACTGTGGCTTTAATGTGTATTTCCCTGATGGCTAACAATGTTGAACATCTTTTCATGTGTGTATCTGATATCTGTATATCCACTTTGGCAAAGCGTCTGTTCTTTTGCCCATTTTCAATTGGCTTGTTTTCTTCCTGTTGAGTTTTGAGATTTCTCTGTATATTCAGAACATACACTGGATATATTCTTTGCAATATTTTCTCCTAATCTTAGCTTGTCTTTTTTATTCTCTTAGTATCATCCCTTTGTAGAGCGGTCGTTTTTAGTTTTGATGAAATTCAATTTATCAACATTTTCTATTATGGATCATGCTTTTAGAGTTGCATCTAAAAACTCTTTGCCCAAGTCCAGGTGATGAAGATTTTCTATGATTTTTTCAAGAAGCTTTATAGTTTTATATGTTACACACTTAGATCTATGATCAATTTTAAGTTCAGCTATGGATAGGGTGTGAGGTTGAGGTGTTGTTTTTTACATATGGATGACAACTATTCCAGTAACATTTGCTGAAAAGACTTTTTCTCTATTAAATTGATTTTTGTCCCTTTGTTAAAAAATCAATTGACCGTATTTGTAGCAATCTATTTTTCTTCTCCATTCCATTGACTGACATGTCTGTCCCTTCACCAATACCACACTGTCCTGAATACTGTAGCTTTAAAATCAAGTAGTGTAGTTCCTCCAACTTTACTCTTCTTTTTGAAAATTGTATCAGCTACTCTAGTTCTCTTAGTCCATTTTTGTGTTGCCAAAAAGGAATATTTGAGGCTGGGTAATTTATAAAGAAATGAGGTTTATTTGGCTCATGGTTCTGCTCTTTGGGAAAGTTCAGGATTGGGCATCTAGTGAGGGCTTCAGGCTGCTTCCCCTCACAGTGGAAGGAAGGCAAAGGGGAGCTGGCACATGCAGAGACCACAGGGTGAGAGCAGAGGCAAGTGGGGGTGCCAGGCTCTTTTTCACAACCAGCTCTTGTTGGGACCTGAGAGCGCGAGAACTCACTTATTTAGGGCATTCATCTATTCATGAGGGATCCACACCCATGACCCAAACACTTCCCACTAGGCCCCACCTCCCAACACCACCACACTGAGGATCAAATTTCAGCATAAGATTTGGTGGGGACAAACCATAGCACTAGTTCCTTTACATTCCACATACATTTCATAATGAGCTTATCTATAAGAACAAATCCTGCTTGGATTCTAATTGGAATTTTATTAAGTCTACAGATCAATTTAAGAACAACATACATCGTTACTAGGTTGAGCCTTATCTCTCCATTTATTTAGGTTTTCTGAGATTTCTTTCATTATCATCTCATCTTTTTTGGCATCCAGATCATGTTTTGTTATATTTCTAAGCCTTTCATATTTTTGAAGCTACTGTAAATAATATTCTTTAATTTCTAATTGTACACTGCAAAGATATATAAATGACTTCTGCATCATGACCTTGCTAAACTACCTTACTAGTTTTAGGAAATTTTCTCATAGATTCCTTAGGATTTTCTGTAGGTTTTTTTGTAGATGTCCTATGTCATGTTAAATTTCCTTCCATTTCTAGTTTGCTGAGCATTTTATCATGAACTGATGTTGAATTTGGTCAATTTTTTTCTGTATTGATATAGTCATGATTTTTCTTTTTCAGACTGTTAATATGGTAGATTACACTGATTGATTTTCAAATATTGAACCAGCCTTGCATTCCAAGGATAGTTTCCTTTTTTGTTATGGTGTATTATTATTCCTTTTATATCTTGCTGGTTTAAATTTGCTAATGTTTTCTTAAGGATTTTTACATTTATGTTGATGAAGCAGTTATTGGTCTGTAGGTTTCACATTTTGTGTTAACCTTGGTTTTGATATTAGGGCAATGCTTACCTCATATAATGAGTGAGGAAGCGTTCCCTCTTCTTTTCCGAAAGAAGTTATTTAGAATTGGAGTTTTTTCTTCATTAAATGTGTTGACAGAATTCACTAGTGAAATCATTTAGGCTAGAGATTTACCATTCAGAAGGCTTTTAAACTATTAATTAAGTATCTTTACTAGTTATTGGACCATTCAGGTTATCTATTTCATGTTAGATGAACTGTGGTAATATGCAGTTTTCAAAAGAACTGGTCCGTTTCATGGCCCTTCTTTGCTTCTCACTCTATGTACATACACTCTATGTATGTACATAGAGGGAGAAGAGGGAAAATGATAACTCAAGAGTATTTCAGGAATACAGTTGTTCCTTGGTGTCTATGGGGGACTTGTTCCAGGATCCCCATGGATACTTAAATCCTTGGATGCTCAAGTCCCCCATATAAAATAATGTGGTTTTTACATGCAGGCTACACACATCCTCCGACAGACTTTGAATCATCTCTAGATTACTTCCACCTAATACAATGTCAATGTTATGTAACTAGCTGTTAGTTACTGTGTTGGTTTGTTATTTGTATTGTTGATATGTTTATTGTTGTGTTGTTATTTTTATTTTCAGATGTTTTCAATACATGTAGGTTGTATCTGCAGATATGGAGCCCACAAATATTTGACTGTACTTCAAATTCTTGTCTTCTTCACCAATCAACTGCTACTATGTCTTTGTTCCAGAGTCCTCAAATAGTTTCTCCCTGTCTGTCTCCAGGATTTATAGCTGCATTCAGTGGGAGAGATGACAGGAGTGTGCCTTCTCCATCTTACCTGGAATTGAAGCTAGGTTACCACTATGTCTAATTTTTAAACACAAAATTGGAATCATACTGTACATACTCTTTGTGCTTTTTTAAAAACCAGCAACATGTCACCAACTTTTTCCAAAGTTCGTTAAAAATCTTTCTAAAACATAATTTTTAATGATCATATGTATTACTACAATTCTATTGTTTCCAATTGTCTCCCCATTGTAAATCGTGCTGCCATAAACATTTTTTAACATAAATTTCTGTACAAATTTGATTATTTCCTTAGGATAATTCCATCAAAAAAATTTTGGTGCCTGGTCTCTGGGTCCAGCTGCTGGGAAGGAGGACACTCTGCAGTCTCAGCACACACCAGCTCCTCCTCCTTCCTCCTCCCCTGAGGTGAATGTGCCCTCAGAAGTGCAAGCTGCCAATTAACTATGCTGCATTTTTTATGACGTGAAAATTCGGAAATGCTCAAGGCCAAAAAAAAAAAAAATCAAGAAAAGAAAAAAGGCTGTCATTTTTTGTCTCAGTGCAGACAAAGTGCGTTGTTGTAGAAGGCGGTGAAGAGACCTTGGTTGGAGATGTAGGTGCAGCCATAAGTGGTCCTTCAAGCATGTGGTGGCAATGTTTCCTGAAAAAGGTATCTCTGTACTTTGCATAAGGCAAGCTTTAAAACCAAGGAATCCAGAAGAGTTGATGGTTTTGTGTGTGTGTGTAGGCACCAGAACTAACACCTCTGAAAAGTAAAATGATCTACATGAGCTCCAGGAATGCAACCAAAAAGAAACATCAAGGCATAAAACATGAACGACAAGTAAAGGGGCCAGAAGTCCTCCCTTGGGCCTGTCCCACTGGGAAGCCAGGTGGCCTTGGTTGTGGCCTCTGCAGGCTGCCCTGTGTAGATCGTCCTTCAGTGCCACAAGCGGAAAGTGCCCGTGTTTACTCTCATCCTCTTGTTGTGTAAATAAGGCAAATACATTTCGGCCAGGGTCTTACTGATGGGGAGCTGTCCCATCACCTAGAGTAAACTACACATTCTATAAATATGTGCAAACAGCCCTAAATAAATCCAAAGTCTAAAGTTTTATTGGTGTGAAATTAAATTCTTATTGGCCACGTGCCTGTTTTCATGAGCTGACTTATAAAGATTTTTGTTAAGCTCAGCATTTGTGATAATACAGTCCATAAAACAGTACAAGGCTGTGTGAAGAGAATTATTACATCTTTGTAACCTCAGCAGTTACTTCGTTTCTTTTGCTTAGAAAATTGGTCATAATGTGGTTGGAATTTTGGTCCAAATTCTTTATTCTTCCTTGAGCTAAACAGAATAACGGAATATAGTATGTCCTCATCACATATGACAGCACTAATACACTAACAACAGTAAGACTGAGTCTGGCAGTCTTTGAATTCTACCAAATGTGTAACGGAGACCCTCAGTGACCCTGCGAAGCGTCCTGAAATCCAGGAGGCAGCCTCTGCACCTGCAGTGCCACTGGCTAGTGGGAGACTGCTGAGTGTGTCCTCAGGAGAACAAGCAAGATCCTGTAACAACTAATGATAACGCAAATTAGGGCTCCATTGTCACCTGTTTTGTTAACAAAAATGATTAAATGGTCTGTTGACAATCTAGGACACCTGTGGTATCTTTACTTGACTCTCCTTCAGAACTTTGCTGCGTCTGCAATAATGAAATATGGAAGAACAAAAAAACTGTAATGCTCTTTGACTTATTCTGTCCTATTTTCCTTCAAAAGGCTTTATCAATTCACACTGACAAAAAGTGTACGGCAGGGTGCATTTCCCCACAACCCCAGCCTGGGGATCATCAGATATTAGAGGACTGCTCAGCCAACTTCCCAGGTCAAAACTATTAAGGTTACTTTTAAATTGTTGGTGACATTAAACAATGTTCAAGCTTCTGGCCTCTGGCATTTCTCTGCCTTTCTAGTCCCCGCTCACCTTCCATGAGGCATCTTTTTATGTGTTTCCTACTGCAACTCTTTATGTCACGCAAGCTGCAATTCTTTAGTTTCATTTACCATTTAATAACTTTTAGCTATGCTAATGTATGAAGGGGAATTTTTTGTCAAATATTTTATTTGACAGCTTCATTATGAACTTGGATCTTAGACCTTTCCCATCCTAACAACAGATAAACTTTTAGCAATTTTTTTAAGTTTCCTCCTTTTCTTAAATATTTAACTCTTGAGCCCATCTGAGGTTTATTTTAGCAGATGGTGTGAAGAAGGGACTCTTTTCTCCAAATCAATCATTCCAGCACCATCTCTGAATAACTACATGCCCTTGCACTGACTGAAAGCTGGCCCTCCTATGCTAAACGCACATGCACTCTTCCCTGTCTCAGACTTTTACTACATGTCAGTGTCCGAGTCGGAAGACGGGCCAGGAGAGATGAAGGCCTGAGGGCTGAGGGGCTCTGAGAACAGGCAGACAGCAGGCACGGAGGATGGGAGGGGCCAGACGCACAGGTGCAGGGAAGGATGCGGCAGCTCAGGAGAGGGGCAGCCTGGGGACTGAAAGTGAAGGTGGGTGCAGCTGCATCAACAACTCCCAAATTCACACCCGCCCTCCCTCAAAGCCTCCCAACCCTGTACCCCAATAACTATCACCACAGGAATTCTTGCAGCCCCGTCTGCCCTGTTCTGGGCCTCCTTGGGCTGAGTAATGACGGTGGTGCTCCCTCAGTCCCCCCAGGGAGAGTCTGAAGTCGGAGCTGCCTCAAGCCCTCACCTGCAAAGCTCCGCCTACACCCTGCACTGCCTGCACAGGAGAAACCACCACATGGTCCTGTCTGAACTTGCCCCAGCATTCCTCCGAAAGTCCTGCTCAGGGTAGCCCCTCCAGGCCAATGCCCACCAAGACCCCAGCCATGTCCCCCCTGCCCAATCAACAGCTGGCCCTGCACATCAGATGGGCGTCCTGTGTTCAAGACCCACACAGATGTTCACCCTCCCCAAGGTCCTCCCTACCCCGGCCCCCAGCCAGTGCTGGTGGCCCACTCCCTGCGGATCAGGGCTGGGAGGCACCGTCCCGCTCATGCCAGGCCCCCAACAGCACATCCTGCCTGCCGGCCCTGCTCTGCATCTCCACACCTGCGCCATGCCAAGCCCTGGCTCATGCATCTTGACAGTGAAGCCACAGTCAGTCCTGGAAGTCTGTGCACCTCCCACACAGAGGGGCCTCCCTTCACACAGGCTGTCTCAGGCCTCTGCATGCTGGGGCTGGACCACAGCCAGTCCCTGGCCTCCAGTCCTGGCCACACATACCCAGGGGCCTCCAAACACAGCCCACCTCTTACTCCATCACTCACACACACCACTGGCACTCCGCTCGGTGTCCAGGATGTGGCACAAAGTCCTCAGACACACAGTTCCCTACATCTGGCCTCTGCCTCCCTGATGCAACACAGTCTGGCCAATCCGGCCACTGGGCAGCCCTGGAACACAGCAACATGGTGAACACAGTGGCTACTCCTCTCCCCTCCCTCTGCCCCACGTCCCTCCTGTGTCCCTCTCACCCAACCCAGGGCACAGCCAGACACTGCAGCACCCAGGCTTCCCCACGTCAGTGCCCACGCACCCCTGGCCTCACCACAGCCTCACTCCTCCTCTGTCCTCTTTTTGTCCCCGTAGCCAGGCACCAGCTGTCAACAGACACTAATTGAATGGGCACTGCTGTTCAGGGGCAAAGGCGAAAGCCCCTTCAGGGATTGGGAGTGGAGCCCGTTTCTCTAGTGTGTCACAGACGTTATTAATAAGCCAAGTCACAGCATGGACATTGAGTCTATTTACATTTATCTTCTGACAACAAAATTTCAACAGGACTAAAAGCCAAAGCCATCTGTTACCACGGGAAACCGTTTCCTGGAGAAGCAGCAGCCATACTTCACACTCCTTCACCCAGACCCCATCTTTCTGGGTCTCTACACTGAGACGCAGTTTCAGGTTGGGAAGCTCCACTCCAATGTCCTGTGTTCCAGGATGCTGAGCCCAGGAGGAGAGCACCGGGCAGACAGCATCCAGCCACACTCCCGTCACTTTCCCTCCAAGCAGACAGTGTTTGTGCAGGGCATATTCGCAAGCAACCAGAAAACAGTCCACTTCCACCCACATGTGAAACTCAGGGTGAACAACCCAGGACAGGCCAGGCACATGCTGGCCCCACAGATGCCCAAGTGGCTTCACAGCGTCACTGGGGCCAGTCTAAGGTGAGGAGACCCTGGCCAGGGACGAAGGCCCTACTGGCGTTAAAGAAACAGCCTTACCTGTTAGGCACAGAATTTTTACAGATTCCCGAGAACACAGTTCATGTAAATCATTCATGAAAATGTTACATGAACTTTGAGTTAAATTTCTCATAAAGGCATTTTTTAAATCAGGTGAAAATTCAAGACACTGAGCCAATGTCCACACAATAAATTAATTATACCTCACAATAGGGAAAACATCAAAATGAATCATGCATGACTCTTGAGATCCTGAGGTTGGCCCAGCTGAGCCTGTGCTCAGAAGCCCCCCAGCCCCGGACCCCAGCTGCCCGCACGCCCGCCCTCACCAGCAGGCAGGTCCCCATCCACTCGGACACCAGCACGTCCACCTTCTCGGGCAGCACCACGTCCTCCACCTTCTGTTGGAACACGGTGATGATGTCGGCAAAGCCATTCTGCAGGACCAGCTGCCCCGTGTGCTGTGCCATCTCACTGGCCTCCACCGCATACACCTGCAGCAGCAGAAGCACCGTCAGTGCACGCCCAGCCTGCACACGGCCCGTCATCTACTCTCCTGAGTCACAACCAGCATCATGAGAAACGGTCAATGACACAAGAGGGAAGCAGCATTCCAGACAGCAGAGAGAGCGAGGGCTGAGCCACACCTGCCCCTCCAGGGACACCCAGAAAGGAGCCGCCTCTAACCCTCCCGACAGCCCCCACCTCCTGCACAAGACACAGACGCAGGGCTGCAAGTGGGCGGAAGCCTCGCATGCCGAGTCGGCTGCCACATGCACAGCAATCTTAATCCATGACCAGCACAGCAAGTTCTGAGCACCCAAGTGACAATGCTGGTCTGTGCCACATCTGAGGCCTGTGAGACAGTTTCAAACCCAGGGTCTCAGGGAAGGGTCTGGCGGGAAGTGCCCAAGTGCTGGGCCCTGGGTCCTGCAGAGCCTGGACTTGGGTGGACACTGTGCTGTGACCCCACCCACTCTGTAAGGAGTCTCCAAGGCTGCAGCTCAGCTCAGCTCAGCATAGCACAGACGGCCCAAGAGGAGTGGGGAGGGGGCCCAGCGTGTGCACCCCTCCCATCCCCGTGGGACCATCCACACCCAAGGCCCAGCACAGACATGTGGGTGCACCTGTTTGTCTACTCAACTGAAATAAATGTCTCACAGAACATACCCCACCCTGTGCAATTCATGGGGTATTTTCTATTCTGCTCTATTCCTGTCTGTGCTGTTTGTGACTCATTACGTGGGCGCCACAGCCTCTAGCATGCAGTCTCAACACACTGCTGTTTTACCGACCCTGAGCCGCACGTGCAAGGACGCTCACCAACACCACGGAGTCATCAGTGAGCCCTCAACAGCTCAGGGTCACGAGTTAGCACACTCAGAGGCCACCTCGGATGTCACCAGCCTTGGCACAAACACCCGGGACGCGTTCGAGACCCCACTCACCGCTTTAGGCCGCGCATAGTGTGCACAGAAGAGACTGATGATCCCAGTCCCACAGCCCACGTCCAGGATGACTTTATCCGTTAGGGATTCCTTATTCTGCAGGATGACACTGTGGTATTTAGTTGTTCGTGGCTGGTCTGCCAACATTTCCAAGTGGAGTTTCTGGAAGAAATGCAAATTCAGAATCACTGCCTGTGACCTACAGCCACGCCAAGTTCTGGACTGAGATGGAGGGTCAGAGCCACAGCTGATGACCCCTGACCCCGCCACCCCACATCTAAAAATATGAGCAAAACATAAGAGCAACAGTACAGGCTTCTGAAGTCCCTCAGCTCAGCACAGCACGGCCAGGCGAGCAGATAGGCAAGAGGGAGCACTGTGCACACAGGGGTACAGTGTCACCCGGACCACTGAGGCTGGAGGGACCACCGCATCCCAACCAGACTCCCCAGGGCCAGGTGTCTGACTAGAGAAAACAGCAATACACCATGAGAGAGGGGCCAGCGCAGGTGGGCAGGGGGTCCCCCGAAGTCCTCTTGCACACATGAGCTCACCCCTCCTGTTCTTGGGGAGTGCCCCGAGGGATAAGCGAGAGACCCAGCCTTGTCCTGAGGGAGGAAAATGCCTGAAACCCAAGGACACCCACATGAGAATCAGCCACCCTGAAAGGAGGCAGAGGAAGGCTTGCTCAGGGCAGCCAGCAAAGCCGCGGGCTGGAGGAGAGGCTGCACCCCTCCCACCAGCACCCTCAAGCTGCAGAAGGCCCAGCGTAGAAACAGCATCGCCAGAAAGAAGACAGGCAGCAGGCGGGAGCAGAGCGAGGACCGCGCCCAGACCACACCAGCAGACAGGAGCCTGCATGAGGCCCTCAGAGCCCACCATGGAGCCTCCCAAGACTCCGCAGAATAAAAAACAAAGGGACAGGTGGGAGGAGGTGGGAGGCACAGACAACAAAGCAAGGCCCAACTCTCCTGCCCGGAAGCAAAGGGTGGGAAAGGCCTACAGTGCCAACACCAATGGAGACAGAGCTGGAGCAGCTACGTCAGCACCATACAGAACGCAGTTCAGAGCAAACCAGATTCCCATCGGTTCACATCAACACAGGAATCAATTCACCCAGAGGACATGATTATTCTAAATACTTCTGTACCTAAAAACAGATCTTCAAAATACATAGAGCAAAACCAATACAGATGCAAGAAGAAACAGACAAATTCACAATTAGCACAGTGTGCTCTCAGTAACTGACTGAAGAAGACAGAAAAATTGGTAAGACTGTGGAAGGCCTGGACATCACTGTCAACCAAGTTAATCTCATTGGTATTTAGAGAACACTTCACCCAACCCCTTATAATAGTAATAAAAAATATCTAGGAACAAATTGAACAAGAAAAGTGTACAACCATGTATGATAAAGAGATATTATCCTTATCTTAAAATGCTGAAAGATATTAAACAAAGCTTAAGTAATGGGAGACTGAGAATCAATGTTATAAAGATGTCAGTTCTCCCAAAATTAACATAAACATTCCATGTACTACCTACTAAAGGAGGAAGCACAACAGAATAATAAAATTAGTTTCAAAACAGTAAGTGCCCAAGGCTAATGAGGAAAATGCTTAAAAAAAAAATAAGAACTGCTGGAGATCTAGCTCTTGCATATCTACAAAGGTGCAATGATGAAAATGATGCACCACTGGGAGCTGCAGTAAACAGAGCAGTGAAATGGCAGCGATTCTGCAGCAGACCCCTGAAATCCAGAGCACGACAAACGCAGCATTTCGCGTCAATGGGAAGGGAACTGTCCAGTACCTGAGGCTGGGATCGCTGGGTATTTGTGGCATAAATTAGGGCGGAATTTTACATTATATTTTTTTACAACGAATAAGTTATAGATTGATTTGAAATCTCACAGTTTAAAATAGGATCAGAAGGCTAGGCGGGGTGCCTCACCCCTGTAATTCCAGCACTTTGGGAAGCTGAGGTGAGAGGGTCCCTTACACCCAGGAGTTTGAGGCTACAGTGAACTATGATTGCACCACTGCACCCCAGCCAGTCATACGACACAGTGTGACGCCATTTCTAAAAAACACAAAAAGTAAAAATAACATAGAACCATAACAGTTCTGAAAAAAAAAAGTGTGGGTATTTATAATCATAGTGAGGAAGGTTTTTCACAAAGAAAAGAAAACGAAATCACAAAGAAAAGAAAAACATATTAGGCTATACAAAGAAAAAAGTTCTATGTGGAAAAAAATTTCACAAAGTCACAAAAATTCACAAATTCAGGCTAAATTAACACACAAATCAACAAAAATCAAAAGAAAGGGGCAAATAATATGAAAGCTTATAAAAAAAGAAAAAATACAAAAGGCCAACAAACACATAAAAGATGATCAATCTTACTTAAAAAATGGGAATCAAAATTAAAAGATGCCATATTTAACCTTTACGATCAAAGTCCTTTTTCACTTCGATTTGTGGTAGGGAAATGGACTTTCACACACCATCAGTGGATCCATGCCATGGTCTGAACTGTCCCAAAAATCCATGTGCTAAAACTTAATCACCCATGTGATGGCACTAAGAGGCCACCTTTGGAGGTTACTATGAAAGGGTTTGTGGTGGAAGAGGCACTCCCAGCCCTCCCACCTTCACCGTGAGGACAGCCTGAGGAGCCATCTTGGACACCAATGCCAGTACCCCCCCAGCCTCCAGAAATGCGAGAAATGAAGCTTTGTTCTTCATAACTTACTCAGTCTAAGGTATTTTGTTACAGCAGCACAAACTTAAATTACACACTTAGTCGTGTGTAATTAGCAAATCTTTCTGGAGGGCGAATTGGCAACATCCACTTAAGGAAACCACACATGTACACACACACACCACACACACCCCCCCCAGGAATTTACCCTATAGAAATTCTAAATAGCATTTAACAGGATTATATAGGACTCCATTACAGCATTATTTATCATGATAAAAAGCTGTTAAATAACCACTGTCCAAATGGCAACAGGATCCTTTTAAAGTCACACAATGCTCTGCAGCTGTTATAAAGAGTGACAGGTGCCAATATGAGAGATCTTCAAAATACTACAGCTACGTGAAAAGAGCAAGGTGAAGACCTGAGTGTTGGAACAATGCCTTTTCTATACATTAAAAACATAAAATAAATTAGGTGTCACTTGGACTTCATAAGCACAGAGGAATCTGGTGGGCCGTGGTTCTTTGAGCTGAGAGGTGGCAGAGCTGGGAGGCTGGCATCGGCTTTTCATTATGTATCTTTCCTTAACGGATAGAAATCACTAACCATGTACAGACATGAATAATTTTTAACACTTCTAACTGTGAAATATGGCATGCCTACAAAAAAGTGCAATAAAAAGTATCTGCACAGTTTATTAAGTATAGTTATATAGCAAACACCTCTATATCCAAACACCTCTGTATCTATATCCAACCCCAGAACACTGCCAGCACGTCAGAACTTCCGACTCAGCCACGCTGGTCCCAGAGCCTCCCCTACCAGCACGTCAGAACTTCTGACTCAGCCACGCTGGTCCCAGAGCCTCCCCTACCAGCACGTCAGAACTTCTGACTCAGCCACACTGGTCCCAGAGCCTCCCCTACCAGCAGGTAACCTCCAACCAACTCTCAGGGGAGCCACTCCTGCTCTCAGTCTCACCACCCAGGCACACTCACAAACAGTACCTTCTGGCGGAACACGATGGTTCATGCTTGTAATTCCAGCCCTTTGGGAGGCTGAGACAGGAGGATCACTTGAGGCCAGGAGTTTGAGACCAGTCTGGCCAACATAGTGAAACCCCCTCCACTAAAAATACAAAAATGAGTCAGGCATGGTGGCACGCACCTGTAGTCCCAGGTACACAGGAGGCTGTGGCAGGAGAATTGTTTGAACCCAGGAGGCAGAGGCTGCGGTGAACCGAGATCCCGCCACTGCACTCCAGCCTGGGTAACAGAGCAAAACTCTGTCTCAAAACAAACAAACAAAAAACCTTCTAATGTGGCCTCTTAACTTTATATAATTGAGTCAAACGTTATAGATTCTTTGCCCTATTCCTTCTTTCACCTAACATTATTTTTATAACATTCACCCTGCAAGTAACTGTTTTCATCTAGTTTTAAAATGTAACCAGAGATTGTTGCCTAGACCATCAGGTTATAGGCAATTTCTCTATGGTGGGGAAAAAAATTCAGTAAGCTGTTTAGAAGTTGGGCTTTTATTATTTTTTTAGGGACAGAGTCTGGTTCAATCACCCAGGCTGGAGTGCAGTAGCTCAATCATAGCTCACTGCAGCCTTGAACTCCTGGCTTCAAGTGATGCTCTGACCTCAGTTTCCCAAAGTCCTGTGATTACAGGCATGAGCCACCACACCTGACCTAAGTATTCTTCTTCACAGATTTATAGAATTATTTCTATTTTTTTTCTTTTTGAGACAGGCTCTCGCTCTGTAGCCCAGGCTGAAGTGCTATGGCACCATCATGGCTCACTGCAGCCTCGGCCTCCAAGGCTTGAGCCATCCTCTCACTTCAGCCTCTCGAGTAGCTGGGACTACAGGCATGCACCACCATGCCCAGCTAATTTTATATATATAGTTTTTTGTAGAGACAAATTATATTTTTTATTTTTTCTCACTATGTCGTCAGGCTGGTCTTAAACACTCGGCCTCAAGCGATCCTCTTGCCTTGGCCTCCCAAAGCGTAGGGACTGCAGGTGTCAGCCACCACACCCAGTCGAATTTCATTTTTAAAGTAAAATTTACTACTTTAAAAAAAAAATGCTGAGAGAACATGCACATAATCTCACTGCTCAAATCATATCTCTAAGCCAGGGGTCAGCAAACTAAGCCACAGGCCAAATCTAGCCCACCACCTGTTTTTGGATGGCCTCCAAACTAACAATGGTTTTTACACTTTTAAATCATTTAATCAAAGGAATAATTTGTGACACATGAAAACTATATAGTATAAATTCAAATTTCAGGGTCCATAAATAAAGTTTTATTGGAACACAACCCTGCACACTTTGTGTGTCATCCACAGTGGCTTCCACACAACCATGTCAGAGCTGAGTGGCTTCAACAGAGACGCTCTGGCCTGCAAGACTATGGACCTGCTCTGAAAGATGCAGTAGGAACTAAAGCTAGAGAGAACCCACCGCCTGGACAGCTGAACAGGGAATTAAAAAAACGATACCAGAGTTCCATAGCTGCCGAAGTACTCTTCATCCTGCCACGTGTCTTCTGGGTCGTACTCATCCATCTGCTTCCCCACATGGTTTGCTGGAATGTACCCACAGTAGCCCGCACGCTCGCCCCACCACCAATCTGCAGTGGTTTGTCTCAGGATAAGAATTTTTTCTCCTCTCAAAAAACTGAGCTGGAAAAAAAAAAAGTTAAAATTCAATTCAATAAGAAAACCAGTCATTGGTATTTCAAGTGTGGCTCAGTAATAAATCCCACCGATGGTGACAAAATCACAGAGATTTCAAACAGGAGTCAGTGGGTAATGACAGCAACTAAGAATGTTTGCAAGTGACACCACAACTTAGCGATACCTCTGGAACATCTACCTGAAAGGAGGGCACAGCTTAACTGATTTTTTTTTAAAAAGGAGTAAACATTTTCAAATGGCTTAGGAGAGAATTTCTCAACAGCCTCTTCATTGTAACTCAACTATGCCAACTGACTTACTGGAGGCTTAGGCTAAGAAATTCCTGTCACAAAGGAAACAAAGCTACATCCAAGGAGATATAGCTTGATACATTTGGTAGCCTTACTTTTCATCAACTGGGTGGGTTCTAAATTCCAAGTAGAAACCAGAACAGGTGCTTCTGCCCCTGGCTGAGGGTCCCCACTCCACACCTGGTATTTTCACACGTGCTTGGGGCAGTACCGGTTAGGCTGTGAGTTTCACACCCAGGTCTTGTGTGGCCCTAAGCATCTGAATACTTCTTCATTTAACTTTGATATGACTTCTGCAAAATTTATCTCATTTTGCCACTGAACATGCTGGAAACCACAAAGCACTGTCCACCACGCATGGCTACCTGGGTCTCATCAGTGGCAGCATAGTCTGCGATGGCCACGAACTCCTCTGGCTGTACTCCCTCCTGCAGGAGACCGGCCTCACTGTACTCAGCAGGCTCTTCTTCCTGCTCAAAAACAAGGAAAGGGTGAGGAGAGGACGTGGGAGCTTTTTTTTTTTTTGGCTATGTTATTAAGATGGTTTCAAATTTCAAATACAGATTCATGTGTCCAAGTATTTATTATACAAACCATTTGGATCATCTTTACTACTATAATCAAAGGCTGTCACCTTCACTCTAAATTTCTTTAAAAAAAAAAAAATGATTTGGACCCTAAAAGAGAACACCAAAGCAAGAAGTCAGAAACAGGCACTGCCAGTGTCTATGTGGTGAGGAGCCCTTGTCCTTCATCGGCCATGCTTCCTGAACATGATCATCAACCCCACGAAGAGAAACCAGCGTGAGGACAGAGCCGGGGGCCCAGCATCCCAGGCAGGCACAGCCAGGGGCCTGTGGAAAGAGCTGATGGCACAAACCTCCACGAGGCAGCAGAGCCCAGCTTGGACCCGCACGGTTCCTTGGAGTCTCCCCCAACCCCTCCTTTTTTTTTTTTCTTTTTTTTTGAGACAGAGTCTAGTTCTGTTGCCCAGGCTGGCATGATCTCAGCTCAGTGCAACCTCTACTGCCTCCCAGGTTCAGGCGATTCTGATGCCTCAGCCTCCCAAGTAGCTGGGACTACAGGTGTGCACCATTACACCCAGCTAATTTTTTGTATTTTTAGTAGAGACGGGGTTTTGCCATATGTTGCCGAGGTTGGCCTCGAAATCCTGGGCTCAGACAATCCACCTGCCTCATTTTCCCAAAGTGCCAGAACTACAGGCATGAGTCACCATGCCTGGCCGTCCACTTTATACAAGAATAAGTTTGTCTGGAAGACATCACTGCAGAGGGCAGAACCTCAAATCACACACTCCAGTTCAATGAATCAACCCTGTCTCAACACAAACACTTTAAACACATTTTCCTAAACATAAAAGTAATTCGTGTTTACTTTAGAAAATGTGTGAAAACACCAAGTACACAGAAGAAAATTTCACTGTAATTTCACTCACTGATCACAGATAATAACAGACAGCACACTGGTATTTATACTTTCAGACTTTTAAAAAAGTGGACATGTAACACAAGTACAAAGCGTTCACTGGGTTCACACAATAAGCCTGTGACCTATGGTTTTCACTCTATAAACTCTGAACATTTTTCGTATTAAATATACTTCTAACACTATTTAGTATCTGTAGAGTATTCCAGTCTATGAATTATCACGACTTACCTATCCAGTTTCCTAGTCTCGTACATTTGGACTTCTCAGTTTTTACTATTCTAAATTATGTTAAGATGAACTTCCTTCAACATAAATCATTCTGCATGTACCTTAATCTTCTTAGGGTAAGTCTCTGAACACGAACTTGATGGACCGAGACTATGCGTACTTTACGGCTTTTGGTTTTACCACCCAGTGCCCTCCAGTAAGGTGTTCCTTGGGCTGCTTGCTGAGAGGGAACGGCCAATCTTCCCACACTCTCACTCAATAGATACCAATCACTTTAGTCTCTGTCAATTTGGCGGGTAAAAATCACTTTCTTACTTCCATTTGCCTCTCTTTGTGTGGTTAGACGTTTTTAAAATACTTGCCAGCATCTTTTTTTACCTTGTTAACTGCCTGTTTGTACCCTTTGTGCTTTTCCCTATGCCAGGAGCATGACTCACAAGGCAGCACTGCCCTCTGCTTGCTCTCCACCCCATCACTGATCCACCCAGCCCAGGCAACCCTTACTAACCCCCCGCTGTGCGGCCTTCCACACCCCCACCATGCCCACGTCATACACAAACCCCTGTGTACACATATACATACACACACACACGCACGCACGCACGCACGCACACACCCAGGCCCTTTCTTTGCTTGGCTTTTTTTTTTTTGAGATGGAGTCTCGCTCTGTCGCCCATGCTGGAGTGCAGTGGCACAATCTCGGCTCACTGCAACTTCCACCTCCCCAGTTCAAGCAATTCACGTGCCTCAGCCTCCCGAGGGGCTGGGACTACAGGTGTGTGTCACTATGCCTGGCTAATTTTTGCATTTTTGGTAGAAATGGATGGGGTTTTGTAATGTTGGCCAGGCTGGTCTCGAACTCCTGACTTCAAGTGATCTGCCCACCTCAGCTTCCCAAAGTGCTGGCATTACAAGGGTGGGCCACCAAGCCTGAACTGCACTTTGCTTTTCTTACACAATACCTTCTGGAAAAACTCTCCACTGTCAGAACCCTGATTTACTACTTTCAATGGCTATACGATATTCCATAGCAGGAACTTCGCTTGATTCTTCAGCCATCCCCCATTGATAGACACTGTCTTGGGATCCGGTTTTCTACCACCATAACTGATGCTGCAACAAAAGTAGTCTGTGCACAGATAAGCTTATCTGATGACATTTTATTTCTGCGGGATAGATTGCCAAGGTTGAAGAATACGCTTTTTTGTTTTTTTTGGTTTTTTTTTTGAGATGAGGTCACCGTCTGTCGCCCAGGCTAGAGTGCAGTGACACGATCCTGGCTCATGGCAATCTCCACCTCCCAAGCTAAAGCAATCCTCCTACCTCAGCCTCTCAAGTAGCTGGGACTACTCTTTGTATAATATAGATCCTATTTGACATCTGAAGAAATTGTTTTACTAACATATTGTTTTCCCAGTTATCTTGTTTAGGATCAACCACTTCAAGAGTCAGGTCAACAGAAATTTTCCAAACTGAAGCACAAAAAGAAAAACAAACAAACAAACAAACAAAAACCAAATAAGAATAGAGCATGAGACATGTCAAACAGCAGCAAAAATTCTAACTTATCTTTACATGGCAACCCCAAAAAAGAAGAGAGAGGATAAGGCAGAAAAAAATAAATGAAGAGATAATGGTGGTGATTTTTCCAAAACTAACAAAAAAAAGATCATCAAGGCCAAAGTGGATAGGTCACCTGAGGTCAGAAGTTTGAGACCAGCCTGGTGAACATGGTGCAACCCCGTCTCTACTAAAAATACAAAAAATTAGCCAGGTGTGGTTACTCGTGTCTGTCATCCCAGCCACTTGGAAGGCTGAGGCAGGAGAATCGCTTGAACCCAGGAGGTGGAAGTTACAGTGAACTGAGATCACAGCACTGCACTCCAGCCTGGGTGACAGAGAGAGACTTCGTGTCAAAACAAAACAAAACAAAACAAACAAACAAAAACTCATTAACTCACAGATTCAAGAAGCTCAACTAACCCTAAGCGGGAAAAACAAGAAGAAAACTGCTAAAAACCCCCAAAATGAGAAAAATCCTAAATGCAGCCAATGTGAAAAAGGAATACATTACATTTAGTGGAACAACAGTAAAATATTGCTGACTTCTCATCAGAAACAGAGGCCAGAAGACAGTAAAATGGCATCTTTAAAGTGTTAAATAAAAACTGCAAACTTAAAATCCCGAATCAAGCTATTCTTCAAAAATGTAGGCAAAACACATTTCATAGTTTGACACAGCAGACTCACACTAGTAAATATAAACATACAGCTGTTAGGTTGAAGGGAAATGATCCTACATGAAAACACAGAATGCAGGAAAAAAGGAAAGATCTCAAAAAAGGCAAATAATATGTGGGGAAACATAAAAGACTATTTAACTTTATTAAAAAAAGACTCAACAATGACAATTTATTGTGGGGTTTACAACATATGTAAAATTAAAATGATACATCAACAGTACAAAAATATGGGTGCTGGTAAATGAAATTAACTTATAAGATCTTTACCTTATGAAGCGGTTAAAAAAAAAAGACTGAAATTGAGAGGATGCATATTGCAATTTCTTGGGAAAACACTAAAATAATATGAAAAGATACAGCTAACAAGCTAGTAAAGGAGGTAATGTGGAATTATAGAAAATATTTATTAATCCACAAGAGGGCAGGAATGCAGACATGCACAAAAAAGAAATGTGACAAATATAAAACAAATAGCAAGATGTTACACTTAATCATATTAGTCATTACATTAAATGTTAATAGACTAAATACTCCAATTCAGAGGCAGAAATTGTGTTTAACAGAGCAACAAAAAAAAGACCTAAGAGCTAGACCCGACTAGCTCTTTACAAGAAAAATGCTTTAAACATAAGGACTGGAGGGAAAAAAAAAATACACACACACACACTCTTTATTATTATAGAAAATATTTTTATACTTTATTATATAGAAAATAAAGTATATTATTATAGAAAATACTTTATTTTCTATAATTTCCCTAAGAATGGGGATATTTCCCTATGCCAGGAGCATGACTCACAAGGCAGCAATGCCCTCTGCTTGCTCTCCACCCCATCACTGATCCACCCAGCCCAGGCAACCTTTACTAACCCCCCGCTGTGCGGCCTTCCACACCCCCACCATGCCCATGTCATACACAAACCCCTGTGTACACACATACATACACACACACACACACACGCACACACGCACACACCCAGGCTCTTTCTTTGCTTGGCTTTTTTTTTTTTTTTTTTGAGATGGAGTCTCGCTCTGTCACCCAGGCTGGAGTGCTATAATAATAGAGCCGGTATAGCTATATTAACACTAAAAAAAGGTACATGCAAGAAAAGAAGTATTTATTAACAGGTAAAAAGACAGATATTTTATAAAAAAAATAAGGTCGATTAATCTGGTAAACAAAACCTATACTAAATAAATACACCCAATAACAGGGACTCAAAATATAGAAAGCAAAAAGTGATAGAACCAAAAGGAAAAATAGATATATCTACAATCATAGTGGAGAATTTTTAGTAACTGATAGAAGATGGCAAAAAAAAAAAAAATCAGAAAAGACATAGAGTTTTGAACAATACTAATAACACATTTGATCTTAATGGCATTTATAGAATGCTACACTCAACAACTGCAGAATACATAGTCTTTGCAAGTGCTCATGGAACATTCACCAAAATATTCCATATGATTAGAATATAAAGCAGGTATGAATAAATTTCAAAAGACTGAAATTATAGAGGATGTTATGTTCTCTGACCAAGGTAATTAAAGCAAAATTAAATAAGAAAAAGTAAAATTTCCAAAATGTTTAGAAACTGGTCAACATACTTTCAAATAGTCCAGAAAATGTCTAATTTCCACCGAATATATTAGAAAATATTTTGAATAATGAAAATGCAATGCATTTAAATACGTGACGTATAGCTACAGCAATGATTAGAGGAAAGTCATAGCTTTAAAGACTAAAGGAAATAAAGACAAAAGCAGAAATCAATGAAATAGAAAAACAGAGAAATCAACACAGATAAAATTGGTTCTTTATAAAAATAAAATTGATAAAACCCTAAAAAAAAGACTGATCAAGTGGGAAAAAAGGAGATAAAATACAAATTACCATTATCAGACATCTATTCTATAATGGAGGGTAGTATTAACAGGATGAACACAAGTATTACTGAAGTACCACCATGACCCTTAAGTAGTCAGCAAAATTAAAGTAACAAGATACCATTTTTTAACCCATGAGACTGACCAAAACTTAAAAGTCTGATGCTGTCAAGTGTTAGCAAGCACTATTGTGGGCTACTGACCTGTGAACTAGTAAAGTCATTGTGGGAAACAACTGATCATTACCCAGTAAAACTGAAACTTGCAGTCCCTTGCACCCTGCAATGCCATTATTGGAGCACAGAGGCATGGAGAAGGATGGTCACTACAGCATTGTTTGAAATAGAAAAAACTAGAAACAACTTAAGTGTCCAACAAAAGGGGAATAAGTAAAATGGGGTATATGCCTACTGTATAGCAGTGAGACTGCAACAGGCCCATACACATAACTACAGCTAGGATACTTTATACTTTCAGAGAAGGAATACACTACAGGAGCACCCTACAGTGGCGGGATTGAACCAGCATTACACATATATCAACAAGGACAAATTCCCCAAAGGTAAAGTTAAATGAACAGGCAAGCTACAGGTGACACTGAGAGTATGACACCACTTATGGAAACTTTAAAAAGCACACACAAACAATATCATATGTCATTCAAGGATATCTATATAAGCCACAGAGGTGTAAAAAATGGTGCAGTGACACAAAACAGATTCAGGATTCACAGTAGTGTTTGCCTCTAGAAAGAGAAGAGGAAAAATAGGACTGAGATTGGGGAACAAACTTTATCTAGAGGGTTGGTTTTTCTTTTTTAAGACATGAAGTCTCACTTTATTGGCCAGGCTGGAATGCAGTGGCTATTCACAGACACAATCAGAATACACAACACCCTCAAACTCCTGGCTCCAAGTGATCCCCCCGCTTCAGCCTCCTGAGTAGCTGAACTACAGATACATCCGACAGTATTTTTATTTTATAAATATATATATAAAACCTAACATACACTGCTTAATGCACTTGATGTTTACAATATCATTCTGGAAATATCCTAATATTTGTTAACTTTATCAAAAGAAAAATAAGATGTCCACAGAATTAAAACATTTTATGAATAATTAAAGAAATCAATGAAAGATGCTGACTATAAATAAAATTCCTGTATATAAAAACCCAAATGAAAACAGATCATTGGAATGAAAGAGAAAAAAAAGAAAATATTAAAATTGACATAACAGATACGGAAATGCTTTTTAAAAATAGTATCTATTATTCAGTTGGTGAGTTTTACACAATCAACATTCCTTAAAATTTGAGGGGTTTTTTTACTGCTAACTTGAACGAAACTATATGAGTACCCTAGGCAGAAACAGTATGAATACATAAATCTTTTCTAATGTGTCCAACTTGCCTTCAATATATTGCTGGTATTATGCCTGAAATTGTATAGAACAGCTCAGAAAATATGCTTGCTTTGCCATTTCACATACCAAAAATGGAACCCTAAATCATGGTGATGTTTAGGGCTTAAGTATTTCCTTAGAAGTGTTAGGGTGCCCAATGCAGGATGTCACCTTAGAGACACTGTGTTTCCTCTGCCTCACAATCTTCACATTTAAGCATTCTACTGCTGGTGGCCACCTTCCAAGGCACAAGTCAAGCTCCACCATATCTGTGAGCTGTTGCTTAGCTCTCTGTAATGTTCACATTCATTAAACACAGATTTTTAGGAACTGGAACCGAAATTACCTGCGATTCACTTCTGGGACAGTCACCTGACGTTGCCATAGTTCTCTTAGGCTCTGCCTCATAACTGCTACATTATTTCATTTTCTTCTCCATTTCTACTTTTAAAAAGAGAAGGAGACACAAAGTACTTGTTATACTGCTTAATAATTAAGTTCACTTCACTTCTAAGGGGCATGATAAATGTCGTCTACCAAATAGAAGTAAAATGTGTATGTGTAAAGAATAGTATAGAAATGAAAATTTACAATTCTCTACAGAGACAAAAGCATTTAAAAATCATAAACTTCAAATAGTGTGTTTTCTTCACTAGTCTGAAAGGTGTTAATCTTATTCATTTGCCGAAGCCTGTTAGTTTCTGTTAGATCAGGTGTCGACTTAAGGCAATAAATCAGTATTCATTCATTTCTGAGAACTGTGACAGCTTTAATTCCAATTAAAAGTCCCTACCTGGGACTTTACAGTGTTTCCACTAACAGGAACCAAAGTCTGCATCTTCCAGTCTTTTCCTTCTTCTCAATTCTTATTTTTCCAGTGACAGTGTAATCCACACTCTGCTCTGGGATCAGTGTGTTTTTTCAATTGCATAGCAATTCTTTGTTTAAAATGCATGCTTCACTTCTAAATCCAGCCTTGAAGCTTATTTTTGTGATATTCGTAGTTACAAACGCTTACTGATTTACATAATTACATTTTCATTGGAAAACCTGGGTCCAAATTGGGAAGGGGTCGGAGAGGAGGCCGGGGTGCGTGCAGGATCCAGCTCTCCTAAGACGCCCTCGGAAGGAACAGGATCATGGAGGGTGGGAACAAGTGGCCAATGAGGGCGGGTGAGAAGGGGGCAGGAAGCGAGGGGGCCGCGCATTGACGCAGGGGCACGAGAGGGTCAGGCTGGGCGAGCGCCGCGAGCTACGGGGCAGGGGCCGTCAGGCAGGTGGGCGTGGTCGCGAAGGGCGTGGCAGAGATGGCGGGGTGGGCGTGGCCGCAGAGGGCGGGGCCATGGAAGGAGCTGGATGGTGGGAGTGGCCGGGAAGGGGCGCGGCGCTCAGGGAAGGCTGTGACGGGGACCCAGCTCCCGTTACGACGCCAGGGCAGGTGGCAGAGATCGCGAAGGCGCTCGGAGGCCCCAGAAGGGGGCGGAGGCCTCTGTCCGCCAGCGACGCACACGCAGTGCGAGGACGCCTCACCTGGCCTGTCCTTCCTTACGTGCAGTCCAGTCACCTGAGCGGCCCATCAGGACACCTACCTCAGCCGCGTTTCTCCGCTGAGTTCCGCGTCCACACCGCCAGCGCGGAGGGGCGGACGGTCTTTTCCAGGAGCCTGAGCCAACGCCCTCAACCCGCGCAAGCGCAGTGCACGCACGCCGTCAGCCGAGAGGTCCCGCCCAGGGTCCGGCGTCCCGCGCAGGCGCAGTGCTCAGACGGCCCCCCCTTCCAGGGGAGCCGAGCCACCGCCCTCGACTCGCGCAGGCGCGCTGCTCACAGACCGTCTGCAGGCAGCGCACTTCACGTCTGAGCTTCCCGCGCTCTTGCGAACCGAGGCCCAGCGCCCCCTTGTGTGGAGCTTGTCCCCAACCGCCCCGCCCCGACGCGGGGGGCTCGGTTTGGGGTCTGACCCAGGGTGCAGGGCGCGGGGCGGGAGGCAGACCTTGGGCCGGGGGCGGGGTTGGGCCCCTCACGACCTGGGAAGCGACAACCCCTACGAGCCACAAAATGGCTGGGGCTTGGGGAACACCTACCTCCTCGTGTCTTCCCTCAAATAATTCAGTTAACTTTCCCGTCCGCGCTGCTCGGTGCGCGCCCTCTGCTTTCTTCTGGACAAGTGGAAGCAGAATGATGACGTTTCTGTTTTGGGGAGAGGAAGTTTGGGGTTGAGGAGAAATGGGTGGCACTAATGCCTGTAAAACAGAAATAAAATTCGAAGCCCCCCCAGGACCCGGCCCGGCAGCCGCGGCGGACTGGACTCCCTCCTTTACCAGGGAACCCTGAAGTTCAACCTGAGAGACTGTTCTGGCCTTGAGGGGAAGTAAGCCTTGTTATACTTCTCCGGCATTAACATCAAGGCAGACCTTAAGTCTGATTTAAAAAAAAAAATGTGGCAGGAAAATAAATCTTGGGGTCCCAAAATCATTAAGCTAAAGGGAAAAGTCGAGCTGGCAACTGCTTAGGGCAAAGCTGCCTCCCATTCTGTTTAGTCATCTCTCAGCTCGCTGAGGTAAATGCATATCTGATTACCACCTCTGGAGAGGCTAACCAGAAACTCAAGGGAATGCAACTGTTTGACCTGGAAGCTCCCTCTTGCCTTTGCTTGGAGTAGTCCCGCCATTCCGGACCAACCAATGTTCATCTTACATATATTAATTGATGTCTCATATCTCCCTAAAACGTGTAAAACCAAGCTGTGCTCTGACCACCTTGGGCCCATGTCATCAGGACCTCCGGAGGCCGTGTCATGGGCGTGCCTCCTTAAATTCAGCAAAATAAACTTCCTAAGTTGACTGAGATCTGACTCAGATAATTAAGGTTCACATTTTAGTAACCACAAAGCGATTCCTAGTAGAGGTGCCACTGACCTTGGACAAATCTCCTATCAGTCCTTAGTACCAGCCTGAGCTATCTTTATGGCTCAAACCAACAGGACAATTTGCTGAGGCCTCGAAGAACCCCCTCCAGAGAATCCCTGATCTACCCAGATTTGGTCAAGATCTGGTTTATTTTGCTGTACAACTCCTTTTGTGTGTGGGGGGGGTGAGGGGACGGGGGTGGTTTACTCTCTTCCAACATAAGGAAGGCAAGTTTTTTCTTGCTTCAGTGACAGTGGAAGGCAGGTAACTCTTTTATGGAGTTTGAGCTCGCTTCCCACAGGAAAGATGAGGGGTTTTCTTCCCCTGCTCCTAGGATGGTAGAGAGCAATCTTCAGCCTGAGACCCATCCCTAGGTAAGTAACTGAATTGGGGTTTGTCTTGGCTAAGATTAACAACCAGCTGGTCTTAATTTCTCCTTACCATGAGTGTGCTCAGTAATCTTACAAATTGTCCAGTCTTTCGTTTTGCTTAACTGTTTTTTGTTGTTGCTTCTTTTTTTTTTGTTCTTTTGTCTTTTTCCCATTGAGTTTGACCAACTCTATCTGACTTGATCAAATCCGAAGGGAAGTTCCAAATTACGAGAAGCAAGGTCTCTGAACTGGGTAAGTTTCCCCCCCTCCCCACCACATACACACACACAAAAGGTGGTGTGGTGGGGGAAGAGAAATAGCCGGCAAACGGAAAAAGAAAAAGATTTTTTATTTTGACTATTTAAGGGACTTTTTTAATATAACAAGGCCACATTTTTGCTAGCCAGACCAACCAAAAAGAGGAATTACTGTCATCCCATGCTGCAGTTCCTTACCTAAGGATTCTGCCTTCTTTTTTTCCACCACGACAGCCTGGGTTTAGTTCCTAAATCAAGCCCTTTCTGGTTTGATATTTGGTACTTCTGAAATAACAGCAATTTGTCCTAGATGAAATATGATAATGAGATTTATTTATTTATTTAGACAGAGCCTTGCTCTGTGGCCCAGGCTGGAGTGCAGTGGCACAATCTCAGCTCACTGCAACCTCCACCTCCCAGGTTCAAGTGATTCCCATGCCTTAGCCTCCTGAGGTGCTGGGATTACAGGTATGCACCACCACACTCAGCTCATTTTTGTATTTTTTTGGTAGAGATGGGGTTTGGTCACCATGTTGGCCAGGCTGGTCTCAAACTGGCCTCAAGTGATCCACCTATCTCGGCTTCCCAAAGTGTTGGGATTACAGGTGTGAGCCACCATGCCCAGCCAGTAATGATGTAGCAGGACGAGCCGCAGACAAAACCTCTCAGACACCAAGTTGTAGAAGGAAGGACTTTGTTCAGCTGGGAGCATCGGCAAGCTACTGCCTTAAAATCTGAGCTCCCCGAGTGCACAGTTTCTGTCCCTTTTAAGGGCTCACAACACTAAAGATTTCACATGAAAGGGTCGTGATTGATTTGAGCAAGCAGGGGGTATATGACAGGGGCTCTACGCACCGGTGGTCAGAGAGAAACAGAACAGGCAGGGAGTTTCACAGTGTTCATCTATACAATGTCAGGAACATCGGTTTCTAAGTCATGAGTTGATTTTTAACTACTGGATTTAGGCCAGGCAGACCCAGGCCTGGTTCCAGGCCTGGCACCGGGCTGCCTGTCTTTGGTTTTACTTCCTTGTTTTTTCCTTAAAACAGGTACTGAGTATAAAACAATATAAAACAATATGAGAGGGTCTCTCTCCTCAATGAGTTTTAAAAAGTTTTTTTTTAAGGAGCTCAATGGTTAAAAGTCAGCTTAATTAAAAGCTAACATCCAACATGTGTGTGTATGTGTGCCTGTGTGTGTGTTTGTATTTAAAAGCCCTTCAGGTTTTGGTTTTTGTGTTTTCGTTTTTGTTTTTCTCTTCTAGGACCTTGTCTTTTTGAGCAAAAGTTTTTTTTCTTAGTTGACTGGCTTCCGTTTTCTTCATTTACTTCTGCCGTCTCTTCTTTCTCTTGCACCCTCTGCTTTATGAGAAACCTAATATAGTTTATAATACCCAGGGTTCCTTACAGAAAATGGAGAAGGTGCCAGATTCCCCTTGGAGGAGAAACCTGTTTCCTTATGGAACCCCAAGAGTGTAAACAGACAAGTTCATCTCAGCTCTTAAACTGCTTGCTTTTATATGGTGTTACCTAATTTTTTTACTAAAATAGTTACTGCAACAGAGGCTACTCTTGATTTCTTAAGGAATAGTGTAGTTTAGACACGTAGAAATGTCTTTGTTAAAAAAAATTTTTTAAGTGCACTGTAAAAGCATGCCCTGGTCTAACCTCACAATAATTTTCGCTTTTTGGAGACCCAGGATTCTGTGTAGGGCCTGCCCAAAGCTCAGAGATCCAGTTAAAATATAGGTAGTCTCTATCTAAATAAAATTGGTCTCCTTATACGATCCTGTGATAGATTTTCATAGTTTTATGTTTCATTTGGCATCCATCTTTAATCTCTCTTTAGCACCACCAGACTTTTTCTCTGTGTACCTTGAAATGTAAATTTTGCTATCCAATTTTTCATCTAAGAGTTTCCTTCAATATGCAGATTTAGGGCTATTTAGCTGACAACTTCCGGGGCAGTGGCACAGGTTCTCGAGAGTTTGCAAGTCTAAGATAGAAAAGAAAAAAAAAGGAGGTCTTAGGAATCTATAAAATGTGCTTCTATCGGTGCACCTAATACCTCTCTGTATTCATGTGCTGTGTACACGTTTCTCTATTAAAAAAATAAAAGCTCTAATTAATTGGCTTAAAGAAAAATAAAAGTGCTCAAATAAAATACTTTATTAGAAAAAGGGGAAGACTAGTCAAATGTTAAGTTTACTTAAAATTTTTAATAAATAAGTTAACTTTAAAATTAGTGGCAAAGTAATATTAGAAATGTCTTAAGAATTGCCAGCATACGTTTTTGTTTGTATTTATTTATCAAGCAATTTCCTACTTATCCCTGCCAATTACTATAAGGTGTCAACAGTTGGCATAGGGGTTACAACACTATAAACCCAGCCCCGAAAGGAAGAACATAAATGGGCTGATGGAGCTGAAAAACACAGCATGAGAACTTCATGAAGCATACACAAATATCAATAACAAAATCAATCAGGTAAAAGAAAGGATATCAGAGACTGAAGATCAACTTAATAAAATAAAGTGTGAAGACAAGATTAGAGAAAAAAAGAATGAAAAGAATGAACCCTTCTCAAAACAAACCATTAATGAGGCCAACAAACATGAAAAAAAGCTCTTCATCACTGGTCATTAGAGAAATGCAAATCAAAACCACAATGAGATACCATCTCATACCAGTTACAATGGTGATCATTAGAAAGTCAGGAAACACGGTGGCTCAAGCCTGTAATCCCAGCACTTTGGGAGGCCAAGACGGGCGGATCATGAGGTCAGGAGATCGAGACCATCCTGGCTAACCTGGTGAAACCCCGTCTCTACTAAAAAATACAAAAAAACTAGCCGGGCGAGGTGGCGGGCGCCTGTAGTCCCAGCTACTCGAGAGGCTGAGGGAGGAGAATGGCGTGAACCCAGGAGGCAGACCTTGCAGTGAGCTGAGATCCGGCCACTGCACTCCAGCCTGGGCGACAGAGCGAGACTCCGTCTCAAAAAATAATAATAATAAAATAAGAAAGTCAGGAAACAACAGATGCTGGAGAGGATGGGGAGAAATAGGAACTCTGACGCTGTTAGTGGGAGTGTAAATTAGTTCAACCATTGTGGAAGACAGGGTGACTGTTCCTCAAGGATCTAGAACCAGAAATACCATTTGACCCAGCAATCCCATTACTGGGTATATACCCAAAGGATTATA